GTATTCCTGGAAAGCCACGGAACGGTGGATAGCTGAGGGGGGGTAGCATATATATATATATATATACATATATATATACACACGTATCATCCTTCTTGTGTGCACATATTCACACGCACAAAGAAACAACATACAAGCACAGACACACCTATCTGTCGCTCGGCCCATCGATGAATCCATCTATCTGTCTATCTGCCCATCTGCCTATCTGCCTTTGCCTATCTGGCTATCTGTCTATACTATATGTCTATCTGTCTGTCTATCTGTCTGTCTATCTATCTGTCTCTCTGCCTTTCTACCTATTCATGTGTCTAAGTATCTACCCATGTATCTGTCGATCTGTCCATTTGCCAACATATCTAGCTGTCTGTCTTTTCTATCTATCTGTGTGTCGATCGACCTGTGTGTCGAGAACCCGGGCTCAAGGTGAACAACACCACACGAACAGGCATCGTCCGGCCAGGAGGCACATTTTTTCACTCCGGCGTCGAAGAAGCATTGGATACCTGAGAAAAGCGAGGCAGTGCGGGCTAAGATGAAAGCCTGCATATCTAGACGACAGATTCGAGGGTTCTTTGCTATAAGCAGTTCCAAACAAAAGAACTCCTGTATTCCTGTACCAGCATGTTGATGATTCCTCCCCTTCAAACCGACAGATTGTGGGACTTGGCCTGAAATCACAGCTGCCCAATTAGCAAATGTTTGACGGTTCGTGCAGCTATACGCAGGAGCTACACTCATCCCCCCCATCCTAAGTAGGCCCTAAACCCTTAAACTTAAACTCCAAACCCTACTCCAAGCCACCCCCAATCCTAATTAAGTCCCTTAGCCCTTAACCCTAAACCCCAAACCCTACTCCAAGCAACCTAACGAAGATGATTTGTGCTTCGGACGGGCTTTCTGTCGTGAAGCTTTGGGTGTGGTTGCGCCCTGAACCAATCCCAAGCATGTTCCCTAACCCCATATCTTGTGGTAAGCCGAGGGTTTGGTGTGGAGGGGTTCAGCATTTAGGGCTCGGGCTTAGGATCTGGGTTTAGGCCCTATAGTCGTGAATTTGCAGAATCGCGGTCCTTATGTCAAAGAGGTTAAACCGATGAATGAAGGGTGCTGTGCATGCTGCGCTTCTGGGTAGACTATGTTCAAAGAGTTCACCATATGATTCTGAAAGCCTGGATTCAGAGCTACATTGCTCAGTGATCATGGGGTGTTGAATGTCGGAAGCATGCGATGGAGTGCAGCTTAGTTTGTTCCGGCATCTTGAATCAGGACAGGGACCCTTCAAGGGGTACACGCTAGGTTCAGGAACAAGTCTGAAGTCCGAACCCTAAACCCTAAAGCCCAAACCCTACACCCTCAACCCTTTCAAGCAGGCAACGAACAAAGCACGAGGTGGGGCCGATGCGCCCTTGGAACCTCAGGCAAAACCATGGCTGTTGCAAGGCTTGCGGCCTACGTAGCTTCGGGGCTTGTGGTTAAACAAAGGGAAGGGTTCGGGTGTTCAGGCTTGAGACAGTTATAGGCCATAACCCCTGAGCCCCAGCGGCTCATCTGCAACCCATTCCCTCATCTCTCATGGATCAGTGTTAGGGTTATTTACTACGAGCATCGAAACATGATCAAATGTAACCTAAGAAACACTAGGGTGAGAGACGAAACACGGCTGTCGCTCGAGGAAACTTCTAGTCAATCACATTACTCGAAAGGCTTCGCCAACGTTTTGTATGTAATGTCTCCCCCCCAATTTCCCTGGTCTTGCTAGTTCCTAGTCAATTTCCTCATAGCCCAGGAACCTTTTGGAGTCCACTAAACACTGCGCCCCAATACCCCAAGCCTGAACCCACCGCAAGTCCAAAGCCTTAATATGCCTTAATAATCAGTACTAGTACTCCCGTAGTACTGCTAGGGTTCCGGCTACAGTTATGCTGGAATAAACCCAGTACTAGTCACTAGTCCCCTAGTACTCCTAGGGTTCCGGCTACAGTTATGCTGGAATAGACCGAGTACTAGTCACTAGTCCCCTAGTACTCCTAGGGTTCTGGCTGCAGTTGTGCTGGAAAAGAACGCGAGACGTTGTTCCGAGTATTCAGGACCCTACACCCTAAACCCGGGCTGCGCATGTGGGTCATTGACTCGACAGTCAGGTGCTGCAGGGTCGGTATAAAGCCAAAGCCCTACAACCCCGAGCACTCAAACCTGAAACCCGTCCCCTGAACCCTCAACCACATACCCCCAAAATCCCCCAAACCAAAGAGCGTGCAAATGGCGTCGTAAATGCCATGGCCAAACCTGACCATTGAATGGCAAAGCTTCGGGTTCAACAGCTCCCAGGTTCTGTCTGGGCGTGTTTGCTTCTGTGCTTGTGGATTTCAGGTTCGGGGTTTGGGGGTTAAGCGGTTTTGGGTACAGGAGATCAGGGGTTCAGGGGTTTGGGGGGTTCAAGGGTTTAGGGTTTAGGGGTTCAGGATTCAGGGGTTTCCAGTTTAAGGTGGGCGCCTAAACAAATATTGGAGGACAGGTGTAGGGTCCAACAGTTTACCTCCGTAATTTAAGGAGCACACCAAAAATTGTAGGGACCTTAATATTGTAATATGAGCAATTTCCGGTACCACTGTTGATCCACAGTATGGATTCAGGACTAAACCTGAAATCACAAGGACGGGAACATTCGGATTCAAGGCAAACTGGCTCATTTAAGGGTAGTGGGCTCTCTCGGCAGGGTCTTGAGGCTCACCAGTATAGCCTAAACCCTAAACCTTTCAAGGTTTAGGGTTTAGGGTTTAAAACCCTATAAGCCTCTCAATATCTAGAGAAGCTTACCTTTTCGATATGCCCTGAGCCTCTCACAGTCAAACATGCACGAGGGGTGTTGTCAAGACTTTAGGGCGGATTTGTGGACCCCCCCTCCACACACAAATGAATCTCACAGATATCTGGAAGAACACTCAACTGGGCCAATCATGGCCCTTGCCCAGAAGCAGATCTCTGTTTGTGGCTCTGTCAAAAACCCTTCACAGGTTGAACGCAGAGCATCCATGTCATATTGTGTCCGTACTAATCCCAACTGGGTGTTGGCTTATACTATAGTTTCACCATGCACTGACTATAAGGGAATCTACGTATTACAGGATTCCGCAAGCCCCTGACGTTGCTTCCGAATCGACAGTTTACGATCATGCCGCACACATGTTGAACCCAAACCCTTAAGTCATCAAAATCTGAGGCCGGGGGACATCATCAGTACGAAGCCGACATACCTGGCACGGTGCAGCGACTCTGGGACTTAGAAATTCGGCTTAGTCCAAATCCGGCTGTTTTTGACTGTAGCCTTGCGCAGCACCATGTCATCGAGGTAGTTACCCCAGACGAAAGACACCGAACCAAAGAACAACCTCCCAGTGCAGCCTGCTGTAACGAGGGCTTTGGAACACACAGGCATGCCCAACTTTCAACCTTTGCAGGCCTTAGTTCCGCCTAAAGCATCCTTCGAAAAGGGACGAGATGCACGAGGGCCCAATCGGGACGTTCTGCAATTCAGCTGAAACTCAAAGTTGAGCGTACCGTCTAACAGATGCGACCCGGCTGCTTCATATACCAGCGTTTGCTGCCGGGAGAGAACATTGAGACCGCCAGGAAGAAAGCACAGGTGCCTGAACGTGTCAGAAGGGGTGACCTCGACATGAGGACGAATATAGGGGCCTGAATCATTAGAGAAGGTTCTGGGGCGTACTATACTATAAATATGATAAGGAACGCTTAAAATACTATGAGTATTTGTTTAGGCGTATAGTAGGTGACTAGGTTGGTGCTGAAGCAATGGTGATATACAAAACCTTCCCACATCCCTGCAGGATGCAACGGCTCCGGAGCAAAACCTGGATGAACCTCGGTCCAGTCCTGTGCTAGCCACGGTGGTAGTCTTCTAGTAATTGCTACATTGCTACATCTGATACTGCTGGACACAGTGCCACTACATGCTACTACATGCCGCTGCTGATACTACTACTACTACCACCACCGCTACTTACTACTTACTACTTAATACTTACGACTTACTAATTACTAGTTACCACTTACTATCTACTACTCACTTCTCACTGCTTACTACATACGAATCACAACTTACTACTTATTACTAATTACTTGCTACTTGCTACTTAATACTCAATACTTACTACTTACTCTAACTACTTACTACTTACTGCTTGCTACTTGCTACTTGCTACACTACTACTTCTGTCTACTTACAACAGACCTCCTTTGTTGTGTTTACAGCTGTCCCTGAGACCCCAAGGCACAAGGCACCTGTCATGGCAATGTGCAGAATTGCTGCAAACAGCCGGACTTCAGCTGTGAGGATGTTCCTCGTCTTGAAGACGGTAGGCGCGATCTTGGCTAGGTAGTCGATATTCTCCATATACGAGAATCCTGACAGATTGCATGGTGTCACACGCATTACAACATCACTCAGGTAGCACGGGCCTCAATGCCGAATGCAGGAGCCCTGGTGTGACACTAGCAGTTTCCCAATTCCAGCTAAAGCCCGTAAACCCTATAACCCCTCAGGAACCGCAAGAAATACAATACATAACCTCTGAGCAACAATCTCAAAACATGACCTCCCACAAACTGACCAGTGGCCTAACTTCCGAAACCACATGATGTTGATAATGTGGAGTCTTTACTAGATGTTCCAGGGTAAGGCAAAGGTTCAGGTAGAACAAGATGCTAACGAACTTTACACCTTAACTCCCTAACCCCCAAACTCCAAGCCGCAACTGACTAAGGAGTCTTATTGACTAGAATAGTGCTGCTGGGCTATATAATACCGTGATTCCATGACGGAACCCAAACCCAGGGGACACTACTAGCACCCCCTTAAATTTTGAGCTGGAAGGTCTGAAGAAAGCAGGGAGAACAACTGATGTGTCAGGGAACCCTGACCCCCACACAACACATGTTTAAGTTTAGGGTTTAGGGTTTAGGGTTTAGGGTTTAGGGTTTAGCGGCTTAGTGTTTAAAATCCCTAAACCCTAAATAAACCTCCCTTAGGGCTACGTAGGGTTCAGATTTGAGCTGACCTTGCGCGTAAAGGGAAGGAAGCTCCATCAGCGCTGACCCCTAAGAGCCAGAACATGAGCTTATGGGATTCAGGGCGCTGAGGGTTTGATGTGGTTAGGGCTTAGAGGGTTTAGGGTTTAGGGTTTAGGGTCTCATGGTCAATGGTTTGATGGAGGGCCCTAAACCCTAAACCAATTAGGGTTTTATCGATAATGTTACAACGGAGTGAGAAAACATGAGGGTGCCGACTCGGGGATTGCAGCAGCTGCGCTCTTTGCATCGCCAGCTCGACGACCACGGACGACATCAAGGTTTAAGTTTAGGCTGTTACGGTTGAGGGCTTAGGATTTAGGGTTTAGGGTGCACTCTTCAAGTTGGAGGCAACCCAAGACACCGGATGACGGAAATACCGTTCATCTTGCTTACGAGGGCCGAAACATGTGGGTAGTTCTCTAAATTAGGGTGAAAAGTGGGTCCCCAATATAGTACGGCACCCTTGTAAAAAGGACCCCAAAAGGGACCCTAATTTAGTATCAGCAATATCGAACATCAGAATTCTCATGAGCATCTTCATCTGCATCGCAGTCAGGGTTATCACACCATCATCTGACTCATCCCATGACCATCATCGTCGACATCACGAGGTGACCTTTTCGGGATATCATTTAAGGTACCCCGAAACTATCATACTAACCTAAACCTTCAATTATCGGAAGTGGTTCGGATCTAGACTCGCAGGCTGCAGATGAGGGCGTAGAACGATAAGCTACCAGACCATAACTAGGTTTGGGCCCAAACCCTAAACCCCCTACACCCTTCGGTCTTGGATTTTCCGGCCCTTTTTCACGCAAACCCTGAAAACCCCTCCATCACGCACTCCCGCGCCCCAGATGGCGAGAATCCTGCTCCCACAGACATGCCACTCAGAACCACCACCACGGGGGAGGCAGCTATTTTCCTTTCCAGCGACAAGTTTTTGGTTTAAGACTCTATGTGAAGGAGTTTATTGTGTTGTGTGGCGTAGGATATATAGCACGGATTGGGACAGAGGGTTGCAGCAGCCGCAGTAAACCTGACAACGCTACGAGCAACGTCGAGACAAATGTTACTCACGATGGTTAAAAAGGAAAAGCGGCAGAACACCACAAGCCTCATGCAAGCAGGAATGCTAGGTTACAGTAACAAGTCTAGTGGTCGAAGGGATAGCACATCTGTAGTCTACACAGTTACAGCATTGACCTTCACTGATTTTCAGAAACATCTGAATCCACTGCCTCCGCAAGGGGCTCTGTCTGCCCTGAACGGGCTTCCGACCTGTAAAACAACGCACTAACCGGCTGTCGCGAAGCCCTTAACCCTACACCCTTAGCCGAGCAAGCTAAATCCCGAGCCGGCACTTTACCTAAACCCTAAACCCTGAGCCCTAAACCCTAAACCCCAAACCCTAATCGGTACCTGCAGTTTGGGGTCGAGGCCGTCGAATGTTGTAGGGCTATCGGTCGGAAAGAACTGCATCCAAGCGTCGGGAACCATCCACAACAAGGCATTCCTTGACGAGTTTACAGTACAAGCTGTCTGAGCTTTCTCGGTTTCAAAAAAATGGCACTTGATGCGGATGATACTGTTGATAAGAAGAAGAACACTAACATTCACAACAATAACAGTTTGCACGAATACTGATATTCATGATAATAATTAGTATTATAAGAGATGGAAGTGCGTTGCCCGAGCTGGAGATTGATGACGGCCTGAAGTATGGAACGTCGCTTAAACTTATATTTTAGGTAAAAGCATGATGCAGTCCTCCAGGTTTTAGGGCTTAGGGCTTAGGGTCCTTAATGCGGGTTCCTTAATGAAAGACGATTGGGGGCTCTGGGTAAGTTCTTTCCGGGCTTCTTGTGTTCCGGCAATATACATGGATCCTATACGCCTCCCCAGCAAAAGCCTGCCTTAAACACATGCTACCAAAAGATAACCTCTGAGACAATCGATGCAAAGGCTACAAAAAAAACGGGTGTAAACATGTAGTGGTCAACCCTAAACTGACATGAAACCGCACTCGACACGATGAGCCGCGAAACCTACCTAAACCGGGAGCTCGACATGCACAAAGTCTGCACCATGACGCCTGATAGACCTGACATGCGCGGGAAGCGCGTCAGCGCACGCGACTTGACGGCCTCCTGTCAAGGTGTTTCGGGCCTCGGGTCAAGCACTCGGCACGTCGGCTCTACGTAAAACGACAAGTGCGCCTGAATTGCGGACCTCCTATGTGTAACTCTACCCATAGGCCCCATAGTAGTTCGTTTTGGGGGTTACCTTATAGGATTCTAGATATGAACCTCAAAAAGGAACTACTATAGGGCCTATGGGTACTTACAACCGGCTTGGGAAGTCCTCTGACAGTCTGAACCGGTTCATACGGTACTGGTACCGTCTGAGCCTTCGATGGCCTCAGGCTTCAAAGCTCAAGGCTTGGTGTTGACGGGTTTCTTACAGTTTGGGCATGTGCGGCTTGGGGTTAGTTCTTGACCTCCATAACCACACACTCGAATCCGAATCATGAACATAACCTTCAAAGCTGGGCACGAAGGGGTCCACAACCACAAAGCCTTTAAGTCAAAACACCATGTTCACCAATATCGGCTGTAATCATAAAATGAGAGCACCTGCTTGATCATGCTATCTTCAGCCCCATCGAACATAGTTTCAATGCAACCATCAAGGTCAACTTACGCAGCATACCCTAAACCCTAAACCTAAACCCCCTAAACAGCATCTTTTCTACGGGTCTCTCCAGCGCCAAATCGTCTTCCTCGACCTTACTCCCCGAAGTCCGAAACCGTACCGTGCTCGCTAGACCGGCCAACGTTTTATGGGGCGTATAGGGTTTAGGGCCCAAACCTCGATAGAACCTTGGCAGCAGGTAGGTCCAATGCTTCGGGCACTCACCTGTGCCTCGAAGCGAAGAAACGAGGGCTTGAGGATTCGCATCCAAGCAGTCGGATATAACAGCCGTACCCTAAACCCTAAATATTGAAGACAAAAACCAGTAGAGCCTAAAAGCTGCAACGCAACCCTGACCCGAATCCACAGAACTAACTCCTCCACTGATGTCACGAGCCGCGTCAGCACCAGAAATTTCAAGCCCTCCTCCACGATGCCTGGTGAGGACACTCAAAAGTCACGGCTCTTCAATATAGTGCCTTCTTGACTAGAACAGGGCTTCGGGCTACATAGACTAGAGAGTAGATAGGGACAAGCAGAGATGCAGACTCAGTATTCCCGCTTCTTATGAACACTGACGGGCTGAAAGACAAGGAACTCTTGCAGGACAATGTGAAAGCGTGACCCGAAACTCCACACCATAAACCTTAAATCGGCTTGCGGTGTATATAGGCCTGTTTTGGGGTTTCGGGGTTGGGGCTTGCAGCCCTCAGCCCCAAACCCTCCCCACTTCTGAGACCCGGATTATATATATATATATATCTACATACATACATACATACATACATACATACATACATACATACACACAGACATACATACATACATACATATTATATATACATATGTACGCAGAACTTGTCAGAATGCTTGCCAAAA